GAAAAGCACCATAAAAGGATCACAAATTTGGTTTGAGTGGACTGTGAAATAATCATTTTGTGAACTGGATTAACCTATTCAATAGAAATATCCAATTCAAATACATGATTTGTTTACAAAACCAAGTGTTATTATCATTAAAACTAAAACTATTAAAAACATTTTTGTTAACAAACAAAGCTGAAATAAAATGTAAATATTAGATAAATTAGAAATGCCTTGGAAACTGAAATGAGTCAAAGCAACAAATAAACTGAAACAAAACTGAAATCAATATATTAAACCTAAATAGTAATATTTAAAAAGCATGAAAAAAAATTAAAAGCACAGAACTAAATATTACGCTAAAATTAAAATGAAAACTGAAACTGTAAAAATTAAACCTAAATCAAAATATATATAAAAACTATAACAGTACATACAAAATACTAACATAATGCATAGTCTGTTTTTTTTTTTTTTTTAAGTATGCATCACTTTTATGATACGTTTACTTTTGGAAGCTTCAGTCCCCATACATTGTAACTGCATGAACAAAAAGTGAATTTCTCCTTTTTGTACTCATCTGAAAGAGGAAAGTCACAAAGATTTTAAATAGCATGAGGTGAGTAAATGATAGAATCTTTTATGAACTATCCCCTCCAGTTTGCACTATATGATAAACAGATCAGAAAAAGGAAAATGGTATAAAAAATAATACTGAAACCCAAGATAGAGAATACATAAATAAGAGGACACAGGATACGATTGAGAGAGAAAGAAGAAGGGAAGGGGGAAGTACAGGAGCAGGGACAAACCTTCCGCTGGAGTGTGACCAGAGGACAGTGTGGAGAGAGGAAGTCAACTGGTGCTGTCTCTGACTTACACACACTGGCTTTCAGCAGGACCAAACCAAACAAGAGAGAAACAACAGAAACATGACCATCGGCCCAGCGTCCTACACACCAACACATCAACAGGGTTGGTTTGTGGGTGTTTTTATGATCGTTGATATACAAATTAAAAGTTAGCATGCCACTTTCAAGTTCTAGATGAAATCTGGGGTGCAGATACATGCCATTTCATGAGCTTCTGCAGTATGTACTGGCTTTAGCAAACATGCTGTAATATCTTGAAGTGCATTTACGCACATTTAACAATCATAATCAGTTTAAAATGCTAAACCAATCTGAAAATTAGTAATGAAAAGCTCGTAATGAACATGTTCCCAGACCATAAAAAAATATTTGCTGATCAGTCTGTTAACCGAAGCATAATGATCAATTGCTACCAAGTGAAGATCTGTTTCATGGACCAAACTGACACAAAGAGGCCCAGTCGGTAACCAACGAAGACATTCAAATTACACACACCATTTGGCCTAGCTAAAGTATGTCTCATTCATTTTATTACCTTACTGCCAATAAATAATCATAAAAGGATGACTCAAATCTGTGGAGTATCAGGCTTTAAATCAGGGGTTCTCAATCATCTTTGGGTTGCAACCCATTTTTTTTCATGAGACCCCAATCCACCAACATAACAGACTTAAGTTACACACTGTTTCAAATAAATGTTGTTTTTGAACTTTTTATTCATGAAATAATCCTTAAAATGTATCAAGGTTTTCACAAAAATATGAAACATCTCAACTGTTTGCAACATTGATAATAATAAGAAATGTTTCTTAAGCAGCAAATCAACATTTTAGAATGATTTTTGAAGAATCATGAGACACTTAAGGCAGGAGTAATGATGCTGAAAATTCAGCTTTGCATCACAGGAATTAATTAAATTTTAAAACATATTCAAATAGAAAAGCATTCTTTTAACTTGTAATAATATTTCACAATATTAGAGTTTTTATAGTATTTTTAAGAGACTTCTTATAAAAGGAAAAAAAATTACAAAAATATATATTAGATTAGATTAGATTAGAGATGCACCAATATGAAATTTTCTTAGCCGATACCGATAGCCGATTATTCAGAATGATATCTGCCGATACCGATAGTTTAGTTTTCTTAAGGGAAAAAAAATCTCTCCCAACTAATGATGTGAACTATACAAGGAACGCTTTCATTTGGTACATTTGAGTTAAAATAAACAACAACACTATTATATTCAATGCTGATATAATAATAATCAGATATAATAATCACACTCAAATAAAAACTTTGTATACAACTCAATTGCACATAAGGTAATTATCATAAAAATTTGTCTTCATGACAGATTTATTAAAACATACATATATAATTAACAGTAAATAAGCTCTTGCTAGTGTTTTTTTTATAGTGAACAGTGGATAACTTTCCTGAGATAAATGCAATATTGTTCGCAAGCTGTTTTATTTTACGACTTTCGGTTATTATATAATTATATATATAATATATATATTATATATGCGATTATATAAGACATGATATGTTTTGGTAAGTTATACTGTATCTTTCAACATACCTTCTGATGTTCATTTATGTTTATTTCGAGCTATAACTTGTATTAAAGTGGAAGAGACGCGTGCTCCACACTGTCGCTTGAACTGAAGCTGCTACAGCGATCTGACATGCAACATTAATAAACAAGAGCGTCAAAATGAAATTTATTGTTTGAATTTTGTTATAAAATATACATGATTTAAAAGCTGAGATTTTGTTTCTTTTCAGAAGTAACAAAGCACAAAGCACTTTGTGATAACTGTATTGGAGGCGCATTACAAAAAAATGTTTTGTGAAGGGAAAACCGCGGATCTGGAAACCCTGGCTTGAAATACGGGCGTTTCATAGGGTCAAATAGAACCCTTATTATTGCTTTAACCTGGACAGCCCTAAATTCAACACAAGAAACATTTTCTTCATGCAAGTTGCAGTCTGACACGCTTTTCCGCCACCTTTTGATTAAGAGGAAATGATCGGCCCTGATCACCGGCTGTTTTTCAACAATCGGCCGATGGCCATTAGGGCAGGTAATTGTTTTTACCGGCCGATACGGATTATTGCCCGATAAATCGGCGCATCCCTATATTATATTATATTATATTCATATTTTTTTACCCTATCTGCATCTTTGGTGACCCACACAGAGTTGTGACCCCTAGGTTGAGAACCTCTGTTTCAAATGCTTATCATTGCATCAAGCAGGTGGAGGAAGTGCAACAGCCCTCGGGTGATTGACGGAGATTGTGCAGTGATTAAGATGATCTGCAAGCGCCGTCTGTGGCGTCACCATTTCACCAGAGTACCCCGCAGAATGGAGTGCGACAGCTCGTCTGTCAGAGCGGAGCCTCTGACTTTCACAGTACCCTTGCCGGTAGGTTTGCGCAGGAGTTAACTGACTGACAGTAGGCACCCAAACACATCTCATCCTCTGCCTAGCAGCAAATGTATGCACAGCAGGGGTGTATAAACTGTGCTGTGCAATGGAGATCAGTTGGGTAATAGATGATGAGGTTCTCGGAAAAGGTCATCCTTAAATGTCAGTGCTCTGTCTCAGTGGCTTTCTCACTTCTGTCACAACGCAACCATGGAGCGACTCCATCAGTCACAAAAGACTGCAACTGCCATCAGCTTAAGATGCTAACCATGGGGGATGGGAGGGTGCTAAAATAACTACACTGGCCTAATAAACTTGGTCCAGTGGGCCAAGACCTTACCTAATCACATTCCTCTCCAAAACACAAAATATTTCAATGTTCAAATGAAAATCAAGCTCAAGATCTGAAGTTCACAATGCCAGCCTCGAGTATGACTTCTACAAGCTGACAACTATGACCATGAGCTGTTTAAAAGTCTGGAGACGCCATCACCTGAGAGTCATTTCTCATGTAGCTCTCGTTTTAAACTCAGAGCCCGCTCCAAACAAGCCTGGTGTAATTCACACACATTAAACAGCACTGAGATGCAGAGAGCTGTTTTTTTTTCAGGCTAAGTTGGTTTCTTTAGCCGGGTGCTAATCAGAATCAGACACGTCTGATTGGGTGGAGAGGCATGACTGATTGGCTCACGCTCTGTCGACTGCGTTTCTTCAAACCGTGCGCCGAGCCACATTTACGCCTGTCTGCCAATTACACCGGGGTGGATAGCTGTCTGCTGGAGAGCAGGTGTCAATGGAGCGAACTCGAGTCAAAATATGCAGTAAATGCATGCGTGTGAAAAGGTGTATGTTTGCATTTTTACGTGCCTAGAAAATGTACCATTATGGATGTGTGTAAATAAGCTCTGCACCCGCTATGGCATTACTTTCTGATGGCCAATTAGCCAAGACCATCATTTCACATAGTGCTAAAGGCCAGACGTCAGCGAGAAGGCCGAGGGCTGTTCCTCCCTGCTGTTTATTTATTTAAGTATCCTTGTGTCTTACAGACAAAGTCAGATTGATAGATTAAGCTATCCAACCTCCGGATCAATAACCACGGCGGAACGAGGGAGCGACTGGGAACTTTTAATGTGCACACTCTGTTTATTGTGCACACTCTGTGTTTTCTAGTCAAAGGCGAACAAAGTTTGTCCAAATGACAGAGAAAGGCAATAACGACCGTGAGCGCCGACGATTAAATGTGAGAACTGACAAACCAAGAGAAATGAAAAGGCTAATTCGTGTAAGTCCGTGTGCAATAGTGTTTTGTTTGTCTTTGTGTGGGGAAGAGGGTTAGCGAAACAAATACAGCAGCTAAGGTAAAGTACAAATGGCTGTGCAAGCGGAAGGCAGCCCCTGTGCCCTGATCTGTTACCAGTTCCACCGACAATAAACCTGGCATTAACTAAATTAGGAAAACTAGGGGAAAAGCTGGTCTCAGATCATCGGCTAGTGGGGCGAGTTCTGCCAGTGCCATAAATCACATCTACAACAGGAAAGGAGAGGAAGCAGGCAGGAGCCTCGAGTCCTGTCCTTTCCTTCTAACTACAGAATGTGTGTATATGTGAGTGTATATGTGTGTGTGAGAGAGGACAGAGGCGGCTAGAGTTAGGAGCAGCATGGAGAGAGCAGCAGTCACACAGATCTAAGGCCAGAGTGTTTACCTGGCCCTGTGCTCTGAGGGTATGCTGCGTAGCCGCAGCTTCCACGGGCCCCCCTACCTGAGCCGCGTGCTGCTGCCACTGCTGCCGCTGCCGCTACTGGACCGTACGCTGTTGCCTGGAAGCCTGTGCGGGTGGGTGGGGTTTGGGATCAGGATGTGGTTGAGGTAAGAGGAGAGAGGAGGAGAAGACACGTGGAGAGGGAATGGAAGGATAACAGAATGGAAAATGAAATAAGAAAAGAGAAGAATAACAGAAGCGTGGAAACAGGGTGGAAAAGGAAAAAGTAAAGGAATGAGAGGAGAGGGGAGTAAAAAAAAATCAAGAATAGACATGAGATAAGAGGAGAGGTAAGAAGGAAAATAGGAAACGGCAGAAAGTGAGGAAATAGAGAAAAGAGAGGGAAAAGGGAGTAGAGAAGTAATAAGAGAAGAGAGGAAAAAAGGTGGAAAGGAGAGGAAAAACACAGGGAACAGGGCAGAGGTGAGAATAAACAAGGGAACAAGGTGGAAAATGAGCATTAGCAAAAGGATGAAAAGAAAAGAGAAAATATAGGAAAGTAAAACAGAGAACAGGGCAAAAAATGAAATGTGGAAGAGTGAAGGTATGAGAGGAGAAGTACAAAAGAGGAAACAGGAGTAGGCATAGAAACAAGCAGACAGAAGAAGAGGAAAGAGGATAAGGAACAGGGTGGAAAATGGGGAGTAGTGAAGGGAGGAGAGGAGAGGGTAAAAAAGGAGAGGGAAAATGAGAGGAGAGGATAAATTAGAAAAAAAGCAGGATCAAGCTACCTCACAACATTACTGACTCATAAAGTTGCTGCAGTGTCATTGCAGGTTCTGCAGGCTGCTGTAATGTACTGTGTACTGTGGGCGTCTTCGGAGTGCGGAGGAGACTGCAGTGGCCCTAATGCACTCTGGGTATTTCTGCATGGGTGACCACGCTGCTCCTTAGCTTATCTGTTTGAAGCACACAGCGGGAGGGCTACGGCTGAGCATCAGACTTTCAGATATGCTACTGAGCTTGTGTGGTCAAGTAACTGTGATAAACTAATTAGATTTCAGCTATCATGTGAAATGTAAAGGGACTAGAATGCTTTAATGGTGTAAATATAGCACTGCAGTACACAGTTATTCAATGGCCCAACATTAATTTGTTAAATAGGAAAAAAATATGAGAAAAAAAACCCTTTAGATTAAAAAAAAAAAAATAGTAATAATAAAAATAAATCTCTTTATTTGTTAATATGAATTTGATAGGGATTGTATACTAAATATGACAGATTACATCAATGTCCTCTTGATATTTTTTGACATCAGTGGCATATGTAACACTTTACTCGATGCCTGTTTATGCAAAGGTATTCTTTAATCCATTCATATATAATACACCCTATAATAAAAAAGTAAATAATTCTCAGGATTATTTATTTAACATTTATTATATACTACTGTTAAAAAATTTGGGGTTATATAAGATTTTTTTTTTAAATTTTTAAAGATGCATTAAATATTAGAATAATTTCTGAAGGATCATTTGACATTGAAGACTGGAGTAATGGCTGCTGAAATTTCAGCTTTGCCATAATAGGAATAAATTACATTTTTAAATATATTCAAATAGAAAACTTTTTTTAATTTTAACAATATTTTACAATATCACTGTTTTTACTTTATTTTTGATCAAATAAATGTAGCCTTGGTGAAAAATAAAAGACTTCTTTCACAAACATAAAAAAATCTTACCAACCCCAAACGTTTGATGAAAATTCAAATTATTTCAAGGCAAAAAAAAAAAAAAGTATGACTTTTTATTGCCTTATTAGTCTACACTATCCATTTGTCTGTGTATTTTCATTCAAATTTGTCATTTTAATTTTATTTTGTCATTTCAACACACCAAACACTCATTCATCAAGCAAATGAGAATTTTCTACTTATGCAGCACCAGTTTCCATAACACCTCACAAATCACAAATTCATGCTATAACAAGAGCTGAAAAGAGACACGAGACCAGGGGGCGAGTCAGAAACCGCAGCTTGAATTCCATAAAGGCAGAGAGAAATCCAGCAAGAGCCAGAAAGATGATCCAGTGCAACACTATAGGGTTAACTCCAACCATGACCGGCATCGGCAGCACAAAGGCGATATGGAAATGGCTCCACACTCCCGACACTTTGTAGTCCACTTAAGTCACTTATCTCTGCGCTGCCGCTCATGTTTGGGCGGGAGAACGAGGAAGCGAGACAGAGACAGAGAGTCGTAAAGCCGAGCAGGCGAATCGTCCTCCGGTTTATGCCTTGAAACTCAATCAATCAGGAGGATAATTTGGTCTCCAGGCAGTGCGAACTGATGCTACAGCCACACCGGTGTTATGGTGTTATTATGAGATTAGGCATCAGGGATTAATTGCTCGCTACCAAGTGCCTTTTAATTCACTTTAAGCGTGCGTTACACAGGGGAAGGGAACAGGTATGGAACAGCAGCGAGGAAGGGGGCGCAATGCATGTGTGCGAAATAAAGTAAACTGACTGTAGGTGAATACACTGACTGCAGAGTCCAAGATTCATGTTTACAAGACTTTGGCTTAATGGTTTTATGCATGACTACCTTCCACTAAAAACAATAGCTCTGTTCCAAAGCATAGTGAGCTGCCTCACTGCCTAAATAGCAAGTTGCCTTCTGAGGCTGCATTCTAATCATCATGGAAACTCATAAGTGACTGATTTGGACTGCTCTACATAGGAAGAAACTCAATCAGCATCACCAATAGCAATTCACAATTGATTCCAATAGAGTTTGATGTTAGCAAGTTGCTAAGCTAATGGCGAAAACACTGAATCATTGATGCAAGACACAAATACCGGGTAAAATAATCAGATTGAAAGAATATTGATTGAAACAAGGCATTTCTTAGAATTTGGGAAAACAAGGTATCTTAGGAGGCAGCATTTTAAAAAGATAGAAAATAAAAATTCTATCCCTTATTCACCCTCATACAGTTGGAAATCTGTACTTCTGCAGAACACGAAACATGTTATTTTGAAGAAAGTTTCATATATTTTGCCCATACAATAAAAAAGAGCTGTGTCCAAAACAACATCTAGGCCCACTGACTTCACTGTATGGAAGAAAAAAAAAAGTGTCATTTTTAAAGGGGTCCTATTATGCTTTTTCACATTTCAACTTTAGTTAGTCTGTGATGTGAGTGGTTACAATCATCCGGGTTTAAATCGCGCTCAAAATGATTTGTTATTGACGCAATATTTACACTGAAGCTCGCAGGTGGCTATGGTCAGGGGCATGACATTTCCCGACCAGGCGCCGAGTGCTGCCAATCACAACACACACTGGCCCAGCTGACCAATCACAGCACATTTCGTATTTCAGAAGGGGGGGCCTTCATTTGATACAGGAACTATTTGAGCCGTTCATGCCAGACTGGGGAGAGATGTGTTGTAATAATGTAAAATATGTGAAAAATAATGTGTTTTTCGAACAACCTAGTATGAGAGCCGCCTGTTCTAGTACACCCCCAAAACAAAATCAAGACTTTGTAAAAGAGCATAATAGGACCCCTTTAAAACTATCTTCTTTTGTGTTCCGCTGAAGAAAGCCAGTCATTCAGCCTTGGAATGATGACATCATTTTCTCTTTTTGGTGAACTATTCCTTTAAGGCTTATGATGCCTAAGTAGGCAGCTCACTAGATTTTAGAACAGAGCAAATGAGCACTACGGCACTACTGTACACGGTAAGAACATGTGTCTTCTGTATTTGTGTGTGTTTGAAAAACAGAGCTAGAACGCGAGAGCATGAGTGTGTATGTGGTGGCGTGCCCACGTGTGCAAGTCAAAGAGACAGAGAACCACTCAGCTTGCTCAAATCTGCAGTGTTCAAACATCATAATTAAATATTATCATTTTAGTGAACAATGAAGGACATCCACTCAAACGCTTCGTCAAAGTCATTATTATAATATAAATATAATTATAGAGCAGCTCTCTAATTAAAACACACATCTTTGGCTGCAGTGGTCCGTTCATGATTGAAAGCCAATAGACAATAAGTGGGTGACACTGGCAGATGGTTGGGTTCACATAGAAGGATGGATGGTAATTAGCCCTGTCTCTTACGGGTTCCCTCCTATTCTTCAGCACAGACGCCCTCCAAACCCTCATATTAGTGGCCTTAATAACCTTTCATGTGCTGCTAATGCCTAATCAAAAAGGAGTCTTTAGGACAAGATTAGCTGTAGAACTGAACAATGGGAATGAGCGCTTAACATCCAGATAAATGAAAGTATAGCCTATATAGCAGCTAGTGTTAAATATTTCAGCAAACAATGCATTTTCTAGCGCCTGTCGAATAACGATTCTTATTTGAAATGAAACAGTAGCTCCCAGTTAAGAGCGTCACCGTCGCCTTTGACAATGTGTTTTCACAGCATTTTGAAAGAACATGAAGAAACCCTGGATATGCTGCATGTATGAGACAAACGGACACCCACAATGCAAATAGATTAAGACAGTTCTATGTGTGAAATATGTGGAGCTTCACACCACTTATAAACAGTGCTGTACAATGGTACAATTAATGCACATCTTGTAATTAAAGGACTTTATTAATAATACACTACAGTTCAAAAGTCGGGGGTTTGCAATGGTTTTTTATGTTCTTAAAATAAGTCTCTTATGCTCCGCAAGGTTGGATTTATTTGAGGGGAAAAAAATGAAATATTATGAAATATTTTTACAATTGAACTATTTTTAGGATTCTTTGATAAATAGAAAGTTCAAAAGAACAACATATATCTAAAAAAGTAAGTAATCCTTGGTAAATAAAAGTATTAATTTCCTATGTGTGTGTGTGTATATATATATATATATATACACTGTAAATGTAGTGTAACTAAACAATACAGTACATTTTTACTTTTTCACACTATAATCCCACTAAATTTATATTTCAAACAAGTCATGAAGTTATGCACCTGTTATCCAGAGCCCAAAAATAAAATAAAATAATTACTTTATATGAAAAGTTACTAATTACTAAAATAAATAAATAAAAATAAAATGACAGATTTAATTTCAGCAACTCCATGCAGCACACAAACAGCTCTGT